CCGGGGCCCCGGTGGGGGGGGGGGGGGGGGTAAGGATGACGAACCGCACCCGCGCGCGAGAGCAACACGAAAGCGCCGTGTGCTGCAACAATCACGCGCTGCTCGCAAATAGCCCGGAACAGCCATGTTTGGAAGCAGCAGCAGCAGCAGCAGCAGCAGCAGCAGCAGCAGCAGCAGCAGCAGCAGCCAGAAGACGAAACGCGGGGTACCGCGACAAGACTCCCTCCCCCCCCCCGTTCTCACCATGTTGAGCACTAGGTAGAAATCTTGGTCGAAAGGCGCTGGCTTCTGTAGTGCCTCCCCCGTCTTCACATCCGTGGAGAACCAGTCGTCTATGCGGCAGGTCTCCTCGTCGTCCATGAACCACACCATCTCGTCCGCGTCCCTTGCGAGGCGAACGCCAGGCGACGAGTCACGAGAAGCAAAAAAAAAACTCTGATGTTTACCTTTGTGTTTGCTAATTTAATCCTGGCCTCTTCTTATTCATTGCGGGTCGAAACGAGTTCCTTGCGTTCTCTGAAAAAAAGAACAAAAAAAAAGTTCGCATTGAAAAAAAGAACAAAACAAAATTTCGTCATGAAAAAAATAACAAAACAAAATTTCGTCATGAATAAAAGAACAAAACAAAATTTCGTCATGCTTGCACAACCCCAAACCCCTCACGACATCTCCACCACTTGGTATTCCGTACTATTATATCATATACCTTTACGCGAAAGCCACGGAGAAGGACAAAAAAAAAATGCAAAAGCAAAACCATCCGATGAGAAAAAAAACACGAGGTCGTCCGACACGCGAGACTTCGCTTCTAATCCTCTGTGGATCGAGACGCTGCTTCTTCGTTCCCCTCGGTGCAACAAAATACCCATCTTGCCACGACTATTTTGGCGGGAACGTGACAAATTGATTGCTAGGAATTGATCTGTTCTGTGCTCACCATTCGACGGCGTAGACGTGGTACTCCTCCAGCGTGCCGTCTGGAACATCCAGGAAACACTCTCCGTTGTGGTTGGAGTTATTCGGGAAGGCGTTTCCTTGGTATGGTATAGTGAACGGGGGGTGGGGGGAGACGGGATATCAGGGCAAGGGGCCGGGGGGGGGGGGGGGGAC